CTGCGGCCGGAGACCTCCGGGCTGCGCTGGCTGCGCGGTCCCGCTAGCGCTTCCCGGCGCCGAGATCCGGGATCCCGGCCCGCACGCGGTGCCGAGGGAAGCAAAAGAAGATCTGGGTTCGGGATCCGCGGCCGTAGGGGAAAGAACTCGCGCTTAAGTTTCGAGGAGATTTTTCTTGTTGGAAAGTCCCTCTTCCCGCGAGTGCGGGCGCAGAGGGCGGTCCCCCGGGTCTGCGGCCGAAGGGAATTAAGGTGGACCCCGAACTGGAGCGGCCGCGTTTCACCCTCGTCCGCACGGAAGGGTTTTATTCGTTTCCCTCATTTTCCACTTTCCTTCCTCCAACCTGCTTGACTTATTTAACTTTTCTTTCAACACCAACTAAGGTGTCGAGTAATTTTTTAGTATTAAAAAACAAATCTGCGCCCCTCACCCAAATAAACAACCAAAAGAGAGCTTTTGAATTTATGAAATCAGTTTTTAAAATGTAACCACTTAACGCCCTCACCTTCCAAAACCGAGTGAAGGGGATGAAACGAAATGGCGAGCAAATTTTTTAAAAGGCCTTTAACGTGTAAGGTACCGCCGCGTTAAAAAGGAGAGAAGGAAAAGCTCTGCTCCCCTGCTAACTCTCGGCTCACCACGTTTCCATTTTGTCATTCCTGATTAAATTATATACATCAGCCACGAAAACGGTTCAGGTAATGTAAGGAATTGCAGACTTTTTTTTTTTTTTTTTTAAACAATGAAAAAGGAAAGGTCCCAAAGATTAAAACCCAGAGAACCAAATAATTTGCACAAATGCTTTAAAGGCATAAGTAGAATTTGGAAAGTTCATGGAGGGAGGAAAAGCAAAGAATTTTCTTGTGTCCGCTTAAGACTTTGGCTAAGAAGCTCTTTTCTGACTTTCAAGGCAGTGGTCCGTCACAGTTTTAACCATCTGGATGGGGAAGAAGGGATCCAGAATCATTCTATGATTAGCCAAAGCCCTATTACAATCATTTTCCCTTGGTTGATTGTTTTCCCTTGGCAGCCTTCTTGAGACACCTCCCCCCCTTCCCCAGTTGTAAAAGGTTTCAGGCTTTGTGACATATATCAGAATATTAAAGGGCTCAAAAAGCTTTCATTAGAAGGTGTACTTCTAAGCCTCTCTGAATATCCTTTCACTTATTTCTGTAATAACTTACTGGTTGGCATCATCATAATAACATCTTCTAAGTTTGCTTCAGATATAAGGATCCCTTAACCACCTACTTGACAATACAGTGTGTAACCCAGTGGAGCTGACAAAGGTGGCAGATCCAAGGAGAGTGTGAAAGACAGCCAAAGGGCCTGTTCACCTTCACCGACAGCTTCTGTCCTATTCAGTCTCTCTCTTTCTCTCTCTCTCTCTCTCTCTCTCTCTCTCTCTCTC